ACCAAAGGTCCATTGTGACATTGTCGGGCCTCATGGAATCCTGGAGGCCATGATGACACTTGGAGGCCTCGTTGAATCAAGGGGCTCTGCAGGGCCTCATGGAACCAAGCAGACCCTTCTGACATTGTGAGTCCCCATGGAACCAAGGGTCCATTGTGACACTGCAGCAACAAGGAGACCCCTGTGACACTACAAGGCCTCATGGAAGCCAGGGACCATTGTGACACTGGAGCCCCATGGAAACAAGAGGCCAGTGTGACACATCTGGGCCTCATGGAACCAAGGATCCAATATGACACCACCACTGTGACACTGCAGGGTCCCATGAATCCAAGGGAACAGGGAAGAGGTCTGGTTGGCTTGGCCTGACTGGTCCAACTGCCCTTAGCATGTCGAGGGTCTCTTCTCATGTACCCCTGAAACCCTGGGGCTCTGGGCTTTCCTTCAAATGGAAAAGAACTGTTCTCATTGAAACATCCATGACCAAACCATGATTCCATCTCCAAAATTTCCAGTGTCCAGGGATATTGAGGTGGGTTTATCCTTTGCTCTAAGCCATAAAAACCCCTTCTAACTAACATACCCTTTGCCTCCTTGCTTAGCCAGTAAGACTGGTTCAAAAATTATTTTCTTCCATATCAAAACTTGCTTTCATTTCTATTCCTTCTTCAGATTCTACATTTAAAAATCTTTCTGCTAAGCATACAGATGTGTGGGACTTTCTTGTCAAACTTTCATCCTTCCCAACAGTTGGTGACGAATTTTGCTTTTCCAGAGGCCTCTTTTTTCTTGATCTCTTCAGTTCAGAAATTCAGCGAGAAAAGCTGATTAACATTTGTTCAAAACACCCAAGCAAGACAAGCTCATTGGAATAATTCAAATCTTCAGTTCTTCTGCGGTTAGACAGATGTCAGAAGTGTTTTCAAAGTGAACCTACTATATTGAAAACAATGAATAGAGAATTGTTTTGTCCTGTTTAGTTTTCTTTTCCTGTTTATAGATTGGTATCAGCAGTCCTGAGTTAATATTGATCCCCAGCACCTCCTCATGCAGACTGAACACATATGAAAATCAAGACCCTTCATGGCTGACAATCAATCACACTTTGTCCCTACCCGCACCCCACCATTTCCCTCATCCAGCCCCTGGCACTGAGAGCAGCTGAGGAATGGAGTCACATCCAGGGGTGTCCCCAGGGCTCAGGATTGGGGCCAGGTCAGTGAAATCTCTTTATTGATGATGTGGATGATATCGCCAGCTGGGGCCTATGTACAAATCACAAATGGGAAGGGACTGCTGTGGAACGTGCCTTGAGCTGTTTTATTTCTCAGCATCAGTCTCATTACATGGGTATGACAATAGGAAGATGCCAGCAGCCCACATCCCAAGCAGCTGACCAAGAACTTAATGTTATAACTTACTTTATAAGTTTTTTGACCAATCACAGAAAGCAAAAGCACATTGACAGCAGTTCATTCCAACCACTATAAGCACATGTACCTTTGGTTAAAACAATGCTTGCCTATTTTGAATACAATACCTGCTTGTGAGCCTTAAAACACAATGCACAGAGCTCCATTATTAAGCTTCAAACTTCCTAATATCTTGCTAGATAAACTTTTCTGTAGCTTAGGAAGGTATTCTAGACAAGCATTAATACACAGAGCATTGTTCTATTTGTTCTTACTTTTCTACTTTTTAAATAATTCTTCTGCTGACCTATCTCATGGCTACTGATTACCTCTAACCACAGTTCTGCTGTCTCTGAGGCCTGCCTTGTGCAGCTTCCCCAAAACCCTCTGATTTTGTGGAGTCCCACACTGAACACAAGTTCAGCTATTTTAAACCAAATGCTCACTGATGTAGATAGTATTAGACATGGCACACTGCAAAATAGAGCTGCTATAGATTTTTTGCTGTTAGCACATGGACACAGGTGTGAGAATTTTGAAGGAATGTGTTTTATGAACTTCCTCTTTCCATTCACAGGAAACTCAAACAACTACAAGACAACATGAAGAAATTGACTCTGAATGATTTGGGCTTGGATGAATAGTTTGAGGAATGGGTAATAACTGGATGATTGAAAGATATCTTAAAGGGAGCTTTGTTATTACTAGTAGTTATTATTATATTGCTTTGTGCTATTCCAGCATAGTGAAATTTGTTACCCGCTTGGCAGAAAATACAGTGAAAAGGATTTGGGTGATGCAAGATGAAGAAGGGGAAATTGTAGCAATGTATCTAAACAACTTGGGCCACACTGTGCACCAGCCATACCACTTTAAGTTATTCTTATCAGAGCCATCTGGAATTAATCAAGGTTACTAAGACATAAACTGTGCTAAATGAAGAATGAAAAGGCTGAGAAACAGAATACCAAGACCACAAGAACTCGATAACAGAAGGCTGTGAACCACCTGGACTGTAACCAATCACAAACTCTGAGAAGTGAGTGCAGGACACATGGACAACGCAGAGGCACCAATGAAGAAGAGTGTGATTGGTGCATGCATTAGGGTTAGAATGTATAAAAATGTGCATAATGTAAACAATAAATGGCTTCTGCTTAATCATACCGGTTAGTAGAATGGGAGTCCTGTTTTCCCACAGTGGGTGCCTGGGAAGGAGAGAGGATTCTTTTCCATAAAAAGGAAAGCACTAAGCCAGGAGCAGGAGACAAGTGACCCTTGCAGGCCTGGGGCCTCATTGCCTCCTTGTCCCTGCTCAGCAGCCTGGCAGGGGCCACCCCATGCTCCTGCCCTTGCCATTGCACATCCCCACATGCCAGTGCCCATCCCGGCAAGAGCCCTGAGCAAAGAGGGAGGGACAGCATCTGCCTGGCCAGGGGCTGGGGCTCAGGCCTTGGCCCTTGGGATTCCTCAAACACATCCAGCTTTGATCAGCACCAGAGACACCTTGGCCTTGTTTGTCCCCAGCTGTCATCACTGCTTCCAGTGTTCTGCTCTAACTGGAACCAGGGGACACTTTCTCAGAGAGACTTATTAAACTTTTAGAAACTTTGGAGTTTCAATTTAACTTTGAATCCTTGAGAAGTTTTTTGAAAACTCTCTGAGGGACTGGATCTGATGTAAACAACACCAAATCCCTGAGGGGCTCATTAAAGTCATTCTGCTGTGTCTGGGCTGCTGAGCTTTAAAGGAACAGCTCTTCCCAGGGCCAGCTCCTCTCCCAGCCCAGCAGGGCTGAGGACTCTGTCTGCAGGCACTGAGGGGACAGGAGCCAGGCAGAGACAGGCTGAAGGCAATCAGGATTGGGAAGACATTGAGCTGAGACTTCACTTGGGGAAACATCTTCACAGCCCTGTGCATGGTGAGTGTGTGGGTGCAGAGCAATGTCCCCTGTGCTCCTGGAGGGATCTCCTGAAGCCAGCACACCCCACAGCCTGGGGGATGTGTCAGGAGGACTCTCCCAGTTTCTCTGTGGCACAGGAGCAGAAGGAGGAGGAGGATGTGCTGCAGAGTGGGGCTGCCCTGGGCACCGTCAGAGGGACAGGGCAGGACGGCTCCTGCTGTCAGGGACGGCTCCAGGGGCTGAAGCTGAGGCTGCAGCCAGAGCTGCCCAGGGCTGTCCTGCAGAGCAGCTCCTGCAGCCCTCAGGGCTCTTGGCCAGCCCAGGGCATGTGCCACCTGCCAGGGGCAGCTCTCAGCCTGCCTGGCAGCTCCCCATGGACGCTGCAGGGGAGAAGGTGGAGGTGGAAGGAGCCACCCCCATCAGGGCAGATTCCTCCTGCTCTGGAGATGGTGCTGCATGGCCAGGGCTGCTCTCAGCTTTCTCCTAAAGGGAAGGGAAAGGGGCTGTCAGCTGTGTCTGTGTCACTGAGACTCCGGCACTGTCACCCTGGGCATCAGCAGATGGGCCTCAGATCACCCTCAGAAAGTGCCTTCTCAGCCTCCTCTCCCTACAGACAGCAGCAGCAGCTCCTTGGCTTGCAGCATCTCTGTCTGGCCTGCCCTTAAGGCCCTGCTGCCAGGGAGATGCCCCTGGGCAGTGCCCTGTGCTGGGAGGGGTCTGCAGGGCAGAGCTGAGTCCCCAGGGCTGGGCTGGGCTCTGGCAGCATTGGCAGGGACAAGGCTTGGGTAAAGAGAAACAGCTCCCAGTAGGCACAAATCCAGGCAGCAGAGAGCCAGACTAATCCTTTGCTTCCCTCCATGTCCTGCTTCATAGGGAGAGAGAGAAGAGTTGGAGAGATTGATTTTGAAACTGGAGTCTTCAAAAAAAGCCATGTTATTTTAAAGAGCAGTTTTTAATTGGTACATCCTGTACTAGAGCGAGGGGAAATGAGCAAAGGGCGCCTGTGTTGGCCCAGCAGGTCTGAGTGCACTGGGGCACAGGGAGCCCTGTTTTCCATCTGGCCTCCCCAGTGTTCAGCCTGAGAGCAATGTTAAGAACAGGACTTTTGTCCCTTCTGAAAAGCACACAGTTACTTTGTAGCCCAAAGCTACACTGAAAAAAAAAAAAGGTAAATGAAATTTCCCCAGAGAAAGAGAAGCAATTTTGAGTGCCTGTGAAAGAAAATAGCATAGGATATACTCCAGGTACTTTGTCCAAATTGTCAATGTTGTCTTTGAACAGCTCAAAATGTCCAGAATGAAGGAATGTCCAACAGCAGCTCCATCAGGCACTTCCTCCTGCTGGCATTGGCAGACACGCAGCAGCTGCAGTTCCTGCACTTCTGCCTCTTGCTGGCCATCTCCTTGGCTGCCCTCCTGGGCAACAGCCTCATCATCAGCGCCGTAGCCTGCCGCCACCACCTGCACACGCCCATGTTCTTCTTCCTGCTCAACCTGGCCCTCAGTGACCTGGGCATGATCTGCACCACTGTCCCCAAAGCCATGCACAATTCCCTCTGGGACACCAGCACCATCTCCTATTTAGGATGCACTGCACAGGTGTTTTGCATTGCCTTTTTCATGTCAGCAGAGTTTTCTCTCCTGACCATCATGTGCTGTGACCGCTATGTGTCCATCTGCAAACCCCTGCACTATGGGACCCTCCTGGGCAGCAGAGCTTGTGCCCACATGGCAGCAGCTGCCTGGGCCAGTTCCTTTCTCCACGCTGTGCTGCACACAGCCAATACATTTTCCCTGCCCCTGTGCCACGGCAATGCCCTGGGCCAGTTCTTCTGTGAGGTGCCCCAGATCCTCAAGCTCTCCTGCTCCAAATCCTACCTCAGGGAACTTGGGCTTATTGTGCTAAGTGCTCTTCTATTTTTTGCTTGTTCTGTGTTCATGGTTTTCTCCTATGTGCAGATCTTCAGGGCTGTGCTGAGGATTCCCTCTGAGCAGGGACGGCACAAAGCCTTTTCCACCTGCCTCCCTCACCTGGCTGTGCTCTCCCTGTTCATCAGCACTGCCTATTTTGCCTACCTGAAGCCGCCCTCCATCTCCTCCCCATCCCTAGATCTGGCCCTGTCAGTTCTCTACTCGTTGGTGCCTCCAGCCCTGAACCCCCTCATCTACAGCCTGAGGAACCAGGAGCTCAAGGATGCCTTGGGAAAACTGGTGACCGCAACTTCAGAACCAATAAATTCTCTTTTCTGCTACAGAGCCTTTAGAATATAACTCTTTTCAATCTCAGCCTTTTTTTCCCTGTTTGTCTATTCTTTGCTATGGTAACTTTTTCTATTTTTGTAGTGTTTCTATCAAAATACTGTATTGTTACTCTTAGCTTTTTACATGAATATCTACATTTCTTTTGAAATAAAAATACTTGCAAGTGGTCTGTTCCCTTGGTGTTTAAATAAAAACAAGTGCCTGCCTGACTTGTCTGTCCAAGGCATTTCCTGAGCCCTTTCCTGTCTCTGCACGGGCAGTGCCTGTGAGCGGAGGTGCAGGAAACGATTCCCAGCGCAGCAGCACAGCCAGGGACAATGCCCCCACCTCTTCCCCCATCTGCTCTGCTCAACTCCACCTTGTCCTTGCCAGCCCTGCTGTGGCTGTAAGGCTGGAGCGCTCTGGCAGCTTGGTCACTGTCTTGCTGCGTGTCCCTGCTGGGACCACAGGCAGGGCCAGGCCATGGGCACTGCTGGGACACAGCTGGGCTCCAGCACAGCAGCTCCAGCAGCAAAGGGCATCTCCTGAGGGCAGGGCAGGGAGGCTTTGCTCCCCTCCAGAGCTCTGTCAGCAATGTGCCCCAGGAATGCCCTGGCACAGCAAAGCCCAGGGCCTGGGGCAGGGGGGGAGTGTGCAGGGGGGGCTCACAGCAGTGTCCTGGCACAGCCAGAGCTCCTGACATGGACCTGAGGCAGCAACAGAGTAGGGCCTGGGCTGTGTCTCTGTTCTGGGACAGCCTGGGAAGGAGCCCCAGGGCAACTGTCCCACACCAGCCCCTGCAACCACCATTGCCAGCACTGGCCTCTCCCCATCTGCAGGAGGTTGTTTGTCCCTGCACGGAGGGACACCAAGTGACCAGGCCAGCAGGCCATGTTTGCTCTGTGCTGAGGAGATCACAGCAGTACATCGTGTGTGTGTGAGGGGAGATGAACCCCAGTGAGCACAAACACCATCAGCAGCACCCGGGGATGGCACAATTCCAGTGGCACAAACAGTGCCTTGAGGCCACTTCACTCTGAGAGTAACGTCCTCTGGGAAAACACCTGAATTCTTTGCTGGGTTGTGGTTAGGACTGCATAGAGAGAAATATCCCAGGCAGGGAGGCTCCAGGGAAAAATGCTCAGGGCAGCCATGGACTGCACAGGGAGACATTGGATAGAGTGAGGGTCAGTGGGGTGAAATCAGAGCTGCCTCCCTTCTGAAACAGCCCAGGGACATGGACAGGGCTGTGATGTGTTCTGGGAACTGACGTGGAACTGAGGGATGTGGAAAAGGCCTTTGGTGTCAGGGCTGTTGAGAAGGCTGGGAAGCGTCACTGTGGGACCTCTCTCAAACCCCTTGGAAAGGCCAGAGCCATCCCAGAGGGTCCTGGGCACTTGGGAAGGGCAGACCTGGAACCAGTTTGCACACAGGGCAGGGAGGGTAACTGGGAGAGTCACAGCCTGGTTAGGCTCAGCAGGGAAGGGGATGTGGCAAATCCTCCTGCAGCCATTCCAGGCACTGGCAGGACAGGGCAGGGACTGCAGAACCCACGTGGGAGGGAACAGAAGGGGATGTTGTGTGCCCAGACTTCAGCCAGGCCTGGGACAGGGTCTGCTGTGGTCTCCTCAGAGCCAGACTGGAGAGAGCTGGGCTGAAGGAGTGGAACATGGGCTGGGTGGGAATTTGGCTGAACAATGAGGGTCAAATGTCATCCATGGTACAGAGTCCTCTTGGAAGCCACGCCCTGGTGACATCCCTCAGTGACCAGCCCTTGGCCACCACTGTGGAACATTTCTAGCGTCTCTAAAATGGCATGAAATGTACTTTCAATTCCTTTATGAATGCTGCCAGATTGCAGGGAGTCTGTGACTGAACTCATCTCATTAATGGTGACTGCAAAATGTAACTGGGCAAGGTGACTGAGTTGGGTAAATTTGTCTTGCCATCAGGTGCCAAGCAAGCCACAATAAAGGGCAGAAAAAACTTATGCATCAGAAGAAAGTCAGTTCAATAGGGAAAAACCCAAACCCAAACAAAAAATAAAAACCCCAAACCAAATCAAAAAAACCAAAGCAAGACCCACCCACAACAACACAAAATCCCCACAAACAAACCAACCACAAAAAGAAAAAGCCACAAATAGAAAAAAATCAAATTCACAGGATATCCCCTATCAGCAGAAAATGTTTAACCAACTTCTGGCAGGAGAGGATTCTGTATGTGTCGGTGGTGTTTTGAAAGAAAAATATCTGAAAAAAGAAATTAATCTCCTAATGCCCTCATCCCCCTCCCCCCCCCCCCCCCCCCGATTTGATTACTGATCATGGTGTGACACGGAATGGAACATCCCTCGGGTCAGTCCAGCCCAGCTGTCCCATCCCTGTTCCCCAGGAACACTTACCCACCCCAGGCCCATAGGTTAGGGGAATTGCAGACACCTCGTGCGGGGCGAGCACTGAGACAAGGACAGGAGACCAGAACAAGATTTACTCTTGTCAAGGACTGTAGAACAGAACAGCTCAGCCTTGGAGAAACTGATTGAGGATGCACCTCTGGCAAGCAGAAGTCACACACAATACAAGCAGGATGCCAGCACAGCTCTGCAAGGCTAACAAAACAGAAATTACTCAAAATAATAATATTGCCATTACTCAAAAGGAGGAGTCAAGGAAGAGCCACGTAAAAAGGGCACTGGATGTTGAAGACAAAACCCAAAGAACCATGAAAGGATTTGTGATAAGGGGTGCAACTATGTCAAATAAACTCAAAGGAAGTGGGGATAGCTCATCAATACAGAATGAATGTGTGTGATGAAAACTCTGATCATTCAATGCTTAATGCACTCCAGTGGAGGAAGGATGGCCCAAGTGACCACCATGCTGTAATAAAGAATACGTGCTTTCAAATACTCAAAACTCTGTTCAGAAGTTTTTATCCAGTGGATTTCAGTATCAGTGGTGTCCTTGACTCCATTGTGCCCCACAGTTTCACAATGGCTTCTTGGTTCCATGAGGCCCGGCTGTAGAACAATGGACCCTTGGTTCCATTGGGTTCCGTACTGTTAAAATGGCCTCCTTGGTTCTGCACTGCCACAATGCTCTCCTTGATTCCACAAGGCCTTGGTGTGTCATAACAGCCCCTTGGCTCCATCAACTGCCAGAATGTCACCCTGGTCTCTTGGATCTGCAGCGTCACAATGGACAATTGGTCACAAGCAACCCTGCTGTGTCACCATGAATATTTGGCTCCATGCAGCCCCACACTGTCACAATGGCTCCGTGGCTCCACGAGGTTCCACAGCATCACCATGATCTCCTTGGATCTGCAGTATCTCCATGGACCATTGGTTCCATGTGGCCCTGTTGTGTCACAGTGGTTCCTTGGTTCCATGAAGCCCCACTGCATAACAATGGAATCTTGTCCTTTGAGGTTCTGTACTGTCACAATGGTCTCCGTGGTTCTGGACTCTAACAATGGACCCTTGGTTCCATGAGGTTCCATGATGTCACAATGGTCTCCTTGGTTCCACGAGGTTCCATGATGTCTCAATGGTCTCCTTGTGGTTCCACGAGGCCTTGCTGTGTCACAATAGACCCATGTTTCCATGAGGTTCCATGGTGTCACCATGGTCTCCTCAGATCCAGATTGTCACAATGGACAATTGGCTCCATGGGACCTCCTGTGTCACAATAAACCCTCAGTGCCATGAGATTCTGTGGTGTCACAATGGTCTGTCTGATTCAACGAGGCCCTGGAGTGTCACAATGGCTGCTTGGTTCCATGAGCTTCCATCGCATCAACAATGGTCTCCTTGTTTCTGCAGTGTCACAATGGATCCTGGTTCCATGAAGTCCCTAAATGTCACTGGTCTCCTGGGTTCCATGTGTCCCTGCTGTGTCACAACAGCCCCTTGGTTCCATGAGTTTCTGTACTGTCAGCAATGGTTCCTTAGATCCAATGAGGCCCTGCTGTGTCACAATGGACCCTGGGTTCCATGAAGTTCTTCAGTGTCACAACGGTCCCTTGGACCCATGAGGTCCCACTTTGTCACCATGGTGTCCGTGGATCAATACTGCCATAGTGGACCATTGTTGCAGCCGCAATAGCTGCTAATAAAGCCCAGGGTAGGGAAGCAAAAAGGGCCTTTGCATGGTACCCACAGATATTTAATTCAGCTGTGCAGTGAGATGTTCAGGGTCACAAGGCAGGACTCCTGGGGGGAGTCCAGGTTTCTGTATCTCCAAAGGAAGGGGTTGATCAGTGCCATGGGGGCAGTACAAAGATGGAGCCAATGGGGGAATGGGGAGGGAGGGGCTGAGGGACACAGAACATAGGGAAGGAGTCAATGGGGTCAAACAGCTATTGAGGGAAGCTTCTTGTGTCTCCCTAACCCAGGGAATGCCTCTCAGGGTCTTCACAGCTGCAGAGTGTCAAAATGGCCCCTTGGTTCTTTTGGGCTCCTCAGGATCCCAGTGGCCCTTGGCTGCATGAGGCCCAGCTGTGTCACACTAGCCCCTTGCTTCCATTGGGCCCGACAGTGTCGGAATTTTCCCTCCCCTTAGTTCCATTAGGCCCTGCAAAGTCACAATGGACCTCTGGTTCCATGAGTCCCACATTGTTCCATGAATCCTTAGTTCCATGGGGATGTCACATCCTTAGTTCCTGTAGTGTCACAATGGTCCCTTGGTTCCATGGAGACACAAAGTGCCACAATGGCCCTTTGGTTTCACAAGGCCTCAAGGTGTAGAAATGGCCCCCATGGTTTCCTGCAGCCATGCTGTGTCACAATGGACCAGTGGTTCCATGATGCCCCAGAGTGTCACAATGGTCTCCTTGATTCTGCACTTTGAGAATCTCCCCTTGGTCCCTTGAAGCCCCACAGTGTCACTATTGTGCCCTTGGTT